GAGGGGTCCCCAACTGGATCAGGCACTTTGAATGGGTGAGACAGATGATTGGCTTATCTGTTTGGGAGGCATCTAGGCAGTGGTACCGGGTCCTGTGCTCATTGCATGAGTTGGCTGTTTGAAACCTGGGGCTTATGCAGGGTCGCTTAGCTTGGCCTGGGAGGAGGGAACTGGACCTTGCTGGACTGAGTCTACCAGGTTGATCTCAGTCCTCGGGAGAGGCTTTGCCCTGGAAGAGGTGGTAATGGGGGGTGGGTTGGGGGGAAGGGGAGGGGGCAGGAGGGGGGAGAACAAGGGAATCCGTGGCTGATATGCCGGGACGTCTGGCAGGTACGAGAAAAAACTCAGACACATGATTTGGTGCAAGCTGATGAGTCTTGTCAGATCTGGAGATGTGCGTCTTCTCCACCTTCTCCTGATCCCACTCAACCCCAGTCTTTTATTTTAATGATGCAAGGAAGTAGGGAATGAGAAAATTCAACAGGTGATTGGGTTCTTCATAATAGTTCCAAAGTTCTTTTGGAAATCAGCAAAGTGTACCCTGTGCCCCTTGGTTGTACAGAGAAGTTCCCAGGCAGAAAGCCAAAGCACACCAGCTTATTCTTTCACAGGTTAATTATTACCAGAACATCTGAGTTTATAACCCCAGAGGTGTTCTATTTGCAGTTTCTCAGAAAGCACAGATGTCTCCATCAAGTCTCTCTTTTCTGGACTCAGGGAACTCTACAGAAGAGGTGGAAAGAGTGTAAGAGCCAGAGAGGATGGAGGACACCAAGAATACAAGGCATCCTAGACACAAGACTGGCACACATATGAACGTAGAGAGACTGTGGCAGCAGACACAGGGCCAGAATGGGTCTGCACCAGGTGGGATCACAGAGCTTAAAGGAGAAGTGGACAAGTGCCCCAATCCCTGTCCCAGAAGCTATCCACAATTGATAGGCATTTACAAATGAACAATTAGTTTTCTGCAAGGGAGAAACAATGGGTAGTGTCCATGCTCAGTAGTAAATGGCCAAGACAAAACAAACACAACAGGATTGTTGGATGTTTTTGTCTCACATTTTTAAGTCAGGGACTTTTTTCTTTTTGTCTTACAGGTCCTTTTTGTATACATTATGGATTTTGGTTTGGGTTTTTAGGGGATTCCTGTGTGAAAGAATGTGTGTGTCTCAGTGTCTGTATGGGTTTCTTTTACTTTTTCTTGATTGGCTATTTTGTCATAGTCCAATTGGGTTCTTTTTTTATTTATTTGAATGTATTGCAGTTTATTTTGTTATGATTCCTTAGATGCCTGTTTGTTTTCTGACTAGACACAAAAAGAGGGGATCAATTTGGATGGGTAGGAAGGAATTGGAGAAGTGGGGATAGCAGTAATCAGAATATATAATGTGAAATATACCTATTTTCCCATTTTTTATTCTTTTTTAAAATATAAAAAGTAAAATATGGTCGACCCCAGTCCTCAGGGGAGACCTTGATCTGGAGGAGGTGGGAATGGGGGGTGGGCTGGGGGGGAGGGGGAGGGGGGGCGAGAGGGGGAGAACAGGGGAATCTGTGACTATTATGTTGAACTGAATGGTGTTGTAAAATAAATAAAAGAGTATTACAAAAAAAAAGATAAAACAAAAATTATCATATTGAAGTTAGACAAGACAAGCCAAAAGAAGGAAAAGAGCCCAGGAGAAGGCACAAGAATCAGAGATTCAGTCATTCGTGCACTCAGGTATTCTTCAACAACCATAAACAGGAAGATAAAATATATGTGCAGAGAACCTGGTGCAGACCTGTGCAGGACCTGCGCATGCTGTAGTATGGAAACCTAAGCAGTAGAAAATTTCAAAAATATGTACATATAAGAAAATGTTATAAATGCAGTCCCTAAATAATGAGAGAGACAGAGTCCCAATTGGCCATCACTTGTCACCAAACAAAACTTGCAGTGCTGAGACTGGGTTACATCTAATTGATTTTTTGACCAAAGGGGTCCCATGAGAATTTCTAAACAATATAGTGTGTTTTCAAGATAAGTTGCTTTCCACAAGGTGACAACAAGATCCCATTGCTGAAGGCAACACCTACACAACTCATTGAGCATGAAGAAGTCATTCTGATGCCTACATAGAATCTTCACCCTGACATTTGAACATTTTTGGTACAGGAAGGTACTCTGCACACTACCATAAGAGAAACATAAGCACCAAAACATCCACAAGCCCTATGATCTACAGTGGTGTCTTCCTTGCAAGATAAGCTAATGCTATGATGGCACAAAGCTTGTAGGAGTAACCAACAAATATCTGATTTGAACTAAGGCCCACTCCACAAATTGGAACCCATAGCTGACACTGCTGGGGTAACCGAGAACCAGAGATTAAATAGTCCAGGGACCTAGAGCACAACCAAATAAAAATGGTCATAAAACAAAATAAAATTAGTGGGAACACAAACTATTTTCTTTTTTTTAATTTATAAAATGTAATTTATTTGTGAATGATGAAAAACCAAGAATCTCTTCTTATGTTTTCTTTTTTTTTCATTTTTATTTATTAAGAAATTTTCTATTCACTCCACGTACCATCCACAAATATGCCCTCCTCCCTCCTCCCACTCCCCAGCCCTCTTTCCGAAGCCACCCCGCATCGCATCCCCACTTCTCCTAAATCGAGGTCTCCCATGGGGAGTCAGCAGAGCCCAGCACACTGAGCCTAGGCAGTTCCAAGCTCCTTTCCACTGCACCAAGGCTGTGCAAGGCATTGCACCACAGGCACCAGATTCTCAGAAGCCTGCCCCTAGACCAGGGACAGATCCCAATCCCCCTGCCTGGGTGCCCCCCAAACAGTTCCAGCCAAACAACCATCTTCCATATCCAGAGGGCCTATTCCAGTCCCATGGGGGCTCCACAGCCACCACTACACAGTTCATGGGCTTCCACTAGTGTGGCTGGTCATCTCTGCACGTCCTTCCATCATAATTTTGACATTCCTCACCTGCAGACTCCCTCTTTCTCATCAATTGGATTCCTAGAGCTCTATCTGGCGCCTGGCCGTGGATCTCTGCATCTGCCTCCATCAGTCAGTAGACAAAGGCTCTATGATAACAGCTAGGTTATTTGCTAGACTGGTCACCAGAGTAGACCAGTCCAGGCACTCTCTGGACCACTGCCAGGAAACCAAGGTGGGATCAACCTTGTGGATTCCTGAGAGCCTCCCCAGCACCCTGCCTCTTCCTATCCCCATGATGTTCTCATCTATCACAGTATCTTCCTCCCTGCCCTCCCACTCTGTCCCTGTTCCAGCTTGACCCTCCCATTTCCCTATGTTCTCATCCCCCACTCCTTGCCCTCTGCCACCCCCCCACACACACCCAGTCCACTCATGTAGATCTCATCCACTTCTCCTTCTCAGTGTCATCCATGTGTCCTTCCTAGGGTCTTTCCCGGTTAGCTAGCCTCTCTGGAATTGTGGGTTGCAGTCTGGCCATCCCTTTCCTCACATCCAGTATCCACTTATAGGTGAGTACATACTATGCTTGTCATTCTGAGTTTGGGTTACCTCACTCAAAATGATATTTTCTAGTTCCACCCATTTGCCTGCAAATTTCATGATATCATTTTTTTTTTACTACTGAGTAGTACCCTATTGTGTATATGTGCCACATTTTATTTTCAATAAAAGGAAAACAAAGAACTCAAAGCATCATTATTTTCAGATGATATGATATTCTATATTAAATACCCTGAAGACAGAAATCTCCTACAGCTGATAAACATATTCAACAAATATAAGGATACAAATTAACACAAAAAATTAATAATTTCCTATATAAAAATGACAAACATATCAAGAATAAAATCAAGGGAAAAAATCATATTCAAAACAGCCTGCTGGGCAGTGGTGGCACACGCCTTAATCCCAGCACCCAGGAGGCAGAGACAGGCTGATCTCAAGTTCGAGGCCAGCCTATGTTACAGAGTGAGTTCCAGAAAAGGGGCAAAGCTACACAGAGAAACCCTGTCTTCAAAAAACAAACAAACACCAAACAAAACAGGCTAGAAATTTCATTGTCTTGGAATGAAAGTAACCACGGAAGGGAAATGTTTCCACAATGAAAACATTAAAACAATGAAAGAACTTGAAGATGAAAGGCTTCACAATCTCCTGGATTGTCGCATACAGAAAGTGACAAGAGCTGCCAAACACCAACCCTTGGAAAACATACATTCATGTCGTCTATCCAGGCAAAGCAGTGGACCCCTGCCAGACGATGGCATTACTGTTGATTATTACCATTACCATTACCAAAATCCATGGCATTACCCTGTTTGTGGATCACCTTTAAAGCTTTCTAACTAGCCTCCACGGACTGGTGTCATTTGTTCCCTGTAATAATAGTGCAGACAACATCCACTGTCCTTAACAGGAAAAATCAGTCAGAAAACCATTGTTCTAGTCTCTGAAGCTACCCGAAGCTCAGAACTTTTCATAAGTTTTCAAGGCTTCGGGTATTGTCAGTGCTGTATAGAAAGTTCAGTTCAGTTATATAGAGATAGCCCATGATCTGTTGTGTTTTTTCATAAAAGATTCCTAAGGGATCATTAATCACTGAAAGAAGACAGCTTAACTGTAATACACACAGCAGTCAATGGCAAATTACTTTCTATTTAGCTGAATTTGGAGTTACATGGTTCTTGTATAATTATGCTCTGGAAAGTCATGGCCTGGGGACCATCAATAAATTAATGAATGCTTTGGAAAGTGCTTAAACCAAAAGTGATTCACCACAGATCTTTCCCTATGCAGGAAATGTTCAACCAAGTTTGAGGAACAGGATCTGACAAGAAAGGAAGGTGAGATGGCTGAGTGACTCACTTTTATCCCTTGATGATTTCATCTTCATTAAAATGAAAGTAAAATTCCCAGTGGCCCACCAGTAAATCTGTTGGATATAAAAGCTCAATGTTGGGCTTTGTGCCTACTTATACTTGTAAGAAAAATAACTGAGTAAAGAAAAACTCTATTTTGGGGTTATTTTTTTTCCTGGAAACTACATTAGTAACAGGAAATGAACTGTTCTGGTTTAGAAGCTGGAGAAATCGAAAGCTATGAACACTGCTGGGTGGAGAGCAATTACATTACAACCCTCCCTAGGGAGACAGCAAGGGGCAAGACAGCTAGCACTGCTGAAGTTAGGAACTTACTCTAAACAGCTCCCTTGTCTTCACTGTTATTCTGTAAATACTACATATTCTCAGCATTTAATGAGATTTCAACACCCTGCTGTGTACTTTTGAGAGATTTATCTTCCTACACGACATAGACAAGCCCTATTTCCTGCCCTGCTGAGGATCTACAATCGGGACATTACTGAGACATTTCCAGAAGGTAAGTGCTGCCTCTGTTATATAAAGAGCAGATAGCTCTGTGAAATCCACAAGAACGCAGGGATCACTAGTGGTTCCTCCAGTGGTGGGTGGGGGAAGCAATGATGGTTCCAGCTGCATTAAGGGCACTGAAACCATGCAGCTGGAGTATAATGCTTCATTCAGGAAGATGGCAGACATCTTTGTTTCTTCATCTCTGGGGATTGGGACAAGAAAAGATGCATTTTGATTAATTGGAGTTTGTAAAATAAACATTCTAAGTGTAGGTATGAGTAAATAGAAAGTGAGAAGAAGGCTTTAGCTATCTTGGCTAGAGAGTACATGGAATCCTGGTGGCTGTGGAACATGACTGCATAAAGCACAAGGTAGTGATATGAAAGTTACCGTGAAGTAATATTGAGTGTAAATGCATCTGCACATGGAGATGAATTATCTTGTAAAATCCTGAGAGTACACATCATGAAAGTCAAGTGATGTGTGTATTAAAATTTTTCTAAGATTCAGAACCACAGTTATTCAAATACAGACAGTTTTCATAAGCATTTTAATACTTTTTTTTTCTACCCATCACACAAGGTAATAAAAATAGTAATTAGTCACTGAGAGAAAATGTCTGTCATTGTGGAAGTTACTGGTTATATTTTATTTGTTTTGGTTTTTGGTCGTAAGATGTATGGATTAAAGGAGATTTAAATGGAAACATACTTCTAATGTCTACTTTTAGAATATTTTAAAGGCTGTCTGTGTCCCATCACATAGTACTCGATGTGTACTTGAGCTTCATAATTCAAATGCTGATTTCAGAGTTGTATAAGTATTAGAACCATCTTGCTAAGTTTATCAGTTACTTTGCTCAAAGTTCTAAATCTTTTACAGATGTTTTTACCTTAGCCATTCAGTAATTAATACACTGTTGTGTTGACAAAATAACTGTTGGTTCTCATTCTGATTTTTTTCAAATTCACAGACTTGTGTGCTCTCACAGACACTGAATATATATAATGCATGTCTGTGTGTGGATATGTGCACTTTATGAAAATATATTCCATGATTTTACAGAGCTGTGAAGAAACAAAATAATAAAAAATAGCAGGCACAATTATTAGTAGCTGATTCCATAATTAGAACTATTATATTTTTCAAGGATGAGAAGGTTTATCATATTTGGTATTTGATAAGAGTTTTTACCTTCAATTCTATTAAAGCTCCACTAATGTACATAAAGAGGATTGTCTTTAGTTTTAATTAATTTTGGATTTTTCTACTGTTAAGGAATGTTTTATTAACAACCTAGGGATACATTTATTAAATTACATTTGACAGAAGTTTTCACTGGACTGATTTGGTCCTTCATTATGGGCTGGTAACCAGCAGGTTTCTGTTCTGCTTCTGCTACCGCCATTTCACTGTGGGATGTGTCTATCTTACATCAACAAACTGTATGTTCTCTTTTGTATGTCCCTCAACCATGTTATGAACTTCCTCTTTTACCTTTAAAAAAAATCAGGTCTTTGTTTTGAAGCATATGTGTGCCTAGGAAAGTTTGTATTTTTCATTTTAGAAGAACTGTATTTTGTTTCTTTCTCATTGTTTTAGTTCTTTGAGAATTTCATGCAGTGTACGTTGCCCATATTCACCCCCTCCCACAACTCCCTCCAGATACACACTCCCTTCCCTTCCCACCCAACTTTGTATCTCCTTTCCTTTTTAAAACCCATCAAGTACAGTTTGTGATCAGCTAACCATGGGCCATGCCCTTAATAACAATGATTCTTCCTCTCCCAGCTCCCATCAAATGACAAATATTCCTTAGCTGGCTGTGGGAATTTGTGTCCACCTCCCTTTACTTCATGCTGGAATTCTGTTTGGCTTAAATTTGCACAAGTCTTATGATGTTCTAAAACGACATTGAGTTTATATGTGCAACTGCCCAGCTGTGTTTGGGAAACTCTGTGTCCCTGTAGTCATCCACTATCTTTGGCTCTTAAATTTTTTTCTTCCCCCTCTTCTTCAAGGTTTCCTAAGATTGGTGACTACTTTTCTTTGCTGGTAGTATGAATAGCACCTCCCAGCACTATAAAAGCTAACTAATGGGAATGTAACTTCAGGGTCACTACCAGATGCTGTCTCCATGTTCTAAGATTTAAGTATGTGATGTCTTTATTGAGTTCTGGAAGGAAACCAAGAGCATTGGAAATAGCTTGTAGTACGTGTGTGTGTGTTTGAGAGGAGCTATCATGGGACCTCACTGATCAACAACTCCAAAGGAAGTAACATTTTATTGACACTAGGAAAATTATTTGTTAGCCCCTGGTATCGAGTAGGATCATTGTTACTCATTAAATTTATATTAATATAAATTTTTATATATGAATATGTATATATTTTATGAAGTATATACAGTAGCAGTTTTCCATATGACTTTTTGAAAAGTCATTAGAATTGTAATTCTAATCAAAATTCCCTCCACAACCTTCCCCACATTCTCCAACTGCACTTAACCATATTGTTCCAGTATTCCACTTTACACCTTTATACCACTTCATTCTGTCCCCTCTCATTTGAAAGCATCTCTTTTAAATCCTAATTTCCCTTCATTGTTCCCCAGGAGTTTATGCAAATACAGTATAAGACATAGTTCCATATTTTAAAATCTCACATTCTTTAAATTTTTCAATACTTTATAGAAATCCAAAGTCCTTTTAAAAATCCTGGGTATCCTAAATATAAATATAGACTCCTGTAAAATAAAAAGTTAGGCACATATTTCTGATTTCAAAAGGGTAGAACTTGGGCAGAGGAACAATAATACAAAGATAAAAATAAAATCCAGCAGTGCAAATCTAAATTCTGTAGTTCAATGATCCTGCTTGTAGATTAATTAGGAGGCTTCCACAACACAAAACAATGTCTCAGAATTACAACAGGGCAGAGACTCCTCATTTTCCTCAACAGAATAGTAATTAGGGCAAAGTTATTTCAGGTCCTTGATCTGACTACATGTTCAGAACTTCCCATTTTCAAGGTTTCCATATTGTCATGAAATAGGCCTACTACCTATTATCTTTATCAATAAGTAATTGAGAAACACTATGGATTCATTAACCGAGTCACCTAAGGAAGAATAGTTTCACTATAGACTAGAGAGCAGCAGGCAATGACAAATTCCTTTCTATTAATTGAAAGCAAAATGTGCAAGATAATGGTTAAACAATCTTCTGGCTTATGAACTAGTGAAAATTAAGGAAATGCTTTAATGAGTGCTTAAACTAAAATTATCTGCATCAGTGATGATACTCTATCCAGGAAACACATTCTGTTCTTTGTGGCAATAGAACCTGCTGAATTCTCCTCCTGCCACCTCCACCTTTAGAGGAAGAGAGGAGGTGTCTGGTTGGCTCACACTTTTCCTTTAATAAATTACCTTTATCCAAAGGAATGTGATCCTCAATGACCCAAGGTAAGTGTGCTAGACATGAAGGGTTAACCTTGGATCATCCACCTATGAAAACTTGTAAGAAGAACAGCTGAGCACAGCAGACCTTTGTTTTTCAGTGTAGGGAAGTGTATACAAGATGGAAACCCTTCAATCACACTAGCCAGGAAAATCAATGGGAGGAGGCCTCACTTTTGCAGCCTTTCTCTCCCCGGAGAGAGCACAGTGCAAGACACGCAGGGCTGCACCACTTGAGTCAAATCGAAATGACTCTGACCAGTGTCGTTCTTCCCATCTTTTAAACTACTTTGTGTTCTTGACAGTTCAGGTTTTGCAACATCTCTGTCCAATCTAGAGAGATTTGTCTTCTTACTCAAATGAAACTAGCCCTGCTTCTTGCCTTGCAGACCAACTAGGATCTGGACACTGCTGAAGAAATTTCCAAGAAGGTTAGTCCTGCCACACCTTCCAAGAGTTGAGAGCTCTGTGGAACCCACAAGAGCACAGGGGAAATCAGTGCTGCTTCTTCAGAGGAGAGTGGAGGGAGCAGGGCTGGTGCCAGCTGCTCTCAGGGCAGGGAACCCACAGCAGCTAGGATCTGATGCTTTGCTAGGGAAGATTGCAGGCATCTTTATTACATCCTTACTGGGGTCTGAGTCAACAAAGTGCATTTTGATTATGGCAGATAATAAAATAACTTTCTAAGTGTGAGTATGAGTATATGGGAAATGAGGAGAAGGCTTTAGTTATTTTGGATGTGAAGAGTGTGAAGGAACTTGTTGGCTGTGGCAATCGACTAGGTAAATGATAGGATAGTGACATCAAGGAATTAATGTGAAATAGTATTTAGTGAAAATCTATCAGGACATGGAACTACACTCTAGTATTCTGATATTGCCCAGCATGAGACACAGTGGACATGTATAGTACAATGTCCACAGATTCAAGGTATTCAAGTACATTTTTTTTTAATCATCCATGGCTGTCCTTATCATTATCTTTTATCTCAGCATTATCTCCTTCACAGTGAGTTAGTTTCTATCATCTTGAAAGTTATTTGTTTTCTTTAGTTTTACATTGTTTGGCTTTGTTTCTTTTTTCTGGTGCAAAATGTAGGGGCCTGAGTGAGAGTTAATTAGAAATATATCTGTATTGCCTACTTTTAGAATACTTTAAAGGCTTTCAAGTACCCTTTAGAATTCTTAATGTGTACTTTAGCAGAATATTGTAGAAGTTGATTTCAGATGTGTATATTTGTAAGGTTATCTCTCTTGGTGTATCATTTATGTTTCTCAATCATTCTATTTTTGTTACAGATGTTTATATCTTGTTAATTTAGTAATTGAGAAATATACTGCTGTATCTATAACAACATTTTGGGTTTTCTCAATTTCACAGATGAGTATGCTCTTTCACATACACATGAATAGGGTATGTGTGCATCTGTACATTTAGGCCAAAACATATTCTATGTTGCTATTTATTATTGTCCTATCAAGAGACATTAAATACTAAGATATAACGTACACTATTATTGGTATATAAAACCAACATTTAAAGTATAATCTCTTTCTAAGGGTATATTCTTATTGTTTTTTTTTTTTTTTTTTTTTTTTTTTTTTGTCAACTTGACACAAGATAAAATTATCTGGAAAGAGATACCTGAGTTGAGAAAATGCTTTCTTCAAAATTGTCTCTAAGAAAGTATGTAGGGCATATAATTGATTAATGATTGATGTGTAACCCATTGGGGGCAGTGTCACTCATGCGCAGGTGGTCCTCACTGCTGAGCAAGCCATGAGGATCAAGCCAGTAACCATTGTTTCCCATTGCTTCTGCTTCAATTGCTACCTCCAGGTTCCTTAAGTACCTTCTCTGACTCCTTTCAATAAAGGATTATGATGTGGAAATGTAAAATGACATGATCCCTTTCTTTCCAAGTTGTTTTTGGTCATGGTGTTTTATCCCAGCAATAGAACCTGTAACTAAGAGAGAAATTGGTACTGGGTTTCTGGGGTAATATTGTGACACACACACCTGACTGTGTTTTAGGAAGGATTATGAAAGAACTTTGTAACTTTGAGAATAAAAGCTATTGAATGCTTAGAGATTAATGAACTATTATGGTAATTTACAAGATAATGCAGAGGGCAGTGCAGATGATGGGGTCCTGCCTAGGAAGTTTCAGAGGGAAGGTTGAGAGTGCCCTAAAGAATCTACTGATGACACTGAACTTTTTCAACTACAGATCTGTGATTCTGGCCAGCTGGGACTCAAGAATTGGCTGTGATTAAGATGAGAGCAGTATTATTGAGATATAATCTGGGAAGTGTCTTCTCTCTCTCAATATACAGAAGCAGAAGCTGTGGTCCGGAGGGGGACAGGGGTATATTTTGTGCTGACAGACAAAATATGCAATGTGAAAGACTCACCCAAGTGGTCCTAGTTTTGGAGACAAAATGAGATCATAAGGAATAGCTGAGGCTTGTAACTGTGAAAGGCAATGAAAGATCATTGGTGAAGACACAAACCAGGTGCATAGGGACCCCAGATTTTTGAGATGTCAGTACAAAGGGATGACACTAAAGATAGCAGCAGTTGTAGAGAGAAGTAACCTAAACACAGGAGAACCACTATGTGTGTTTGGATGGAAGAGCAGGAGAAATGGAGCTGCCAAGGCCCTTAGCAGAGGAGAGAATTTTTTTACACTGTAGAATTTGATTTTACTTTGATTTGAATGAAATTATAACCTGTTTTTTCCAACTTGGAAAAACAGTGTAGGGAACTGATTTTTTTTTTTTATTTTGTAAGAGCTCACAGATGAGATACTTTGAATTTTTAAAGACTTTGGAATTTTAGAGAGACTTGGAATGTTTTTAGAGAGGCTTTGACATTTGGAAGAGAATTTAGGTGTTTTAAAGAAACTGAACATTTCAAGTGTTTAGCTTTTCAGTGGTGAGGATGGACACGTACTGATACCAGAATCTAGTGGGCATAGATTGGCATTAATGCATGTATACTATGTTGTATAAACTGGAAATTCTCCTGAAGTTTGGATGATTAGTACAAATTTAAAAGCAATAACACTTCAATAACAAAATGAGGGTTCTCATATAAATGGAACCCATAAAAATTACACATAGTTTTTGTCATCACATATCTGGTTATATTTGAAATAGTTGTGTTTTCACTAAAACCCTCCCAAATAAAAGCTTTCTATTTTCATTTTCCCTGGACCAGGAGATCAGTATTGTATGAAAATTAGAATGCTGCTCTGAAGAAGGTAGTTTCATTGTTGAGAATCAACTTTAATCTCCTCCTTAAATATATAGATGATCTACTTTTTAATATCTTATGTCTTACAGAGTATGTCTTTCTATTAATACTCTTTATCTTCCCTGTCATGTGTCCTTGTGTGGATATTCTATTTAGCCTTGGATTTCTTTGAGCATGGAGGATGTTCAATTTTTCTCCAAAAAAGGGGGGAAACAATTGACACACCTAGATATTTAATATCCAATTAAACCTAGGTCCATAAAGGCATGATTTCAAAACTAAAATACAAAAAAATTGAATTAGATTATTGGACTCATTCCATTCTCTGTCGACCATCAAGGAAGTATATATAATGTGAATGAGGTACAAAGCAGGATGCTAGGTCCACTGGGGAATTTTGGGAAATTCCAGAAAACAAATTTTTTTCTTGCTTCTAATTTTCTAATTTTTGTTATTAGTTCCTTACAAATTTCTCTGATGAGGTTTGAAAGACCTGGGGACATAATAATAAGTTTAATTCTACTCCTATTTAGCAGTGTAAAATTGATAGCTTCTCAACTAGAGACAATTGGCTTAGACGTGTATGCCATCACCTCTTGGTTTCATGTGAATTCTTAATGGATATTTAGATAGCTAGAAATAGAGGAGAGAAGGTAGAAGATAGATAGATAGAAAGAATATATATATACATACATATATGTATATATATATGGAAACTTCTATAGTAATAGGTTTGCCACTTGGTTTTTGAAACATAATTAGTGTTCTTACTCCTCTATTTCTTCTACTACCGTACCCTCTCATCACACACCCCACTTAAATCTAAAGTTTTCAAAGTTTCTGAAAAATAGAGAAAGAAATGTGAGAATGGCTTTCTAAACAATGAAAAAGAAATTAGACAAACCATAAACCTTAACAATAGGAGTATATTTTATATTTTGAAGCATATGATCTCAGGAGTAAAAATAAACTTAAAAGGAAGAGTGCCAGTTATTCAAGGTCTTCCAATATATATTAGAAGGAAGGAATATTTTTAATAAATTTGGAAACTATTAAAAGGTCTGGGAGGATTTAAAAATAACATGAAGGTAGAAAATTGTGTCTATGAACAAATAAGAACCACTGAGTCAATCCCGAAAGGATAAAAATCAAGAAACTACTGACACAATTCAAACCAATAAATTCTAGGGTCCTGCTCTGAAAAGTATGTAGATGTTGAGAAATTGACAGTAATATGAGCACAAAGAACCCAAAGATCACAATCCAACCTCAGGAGAGACAGGATGCTAATGAGGGTTGTTTGATGGAAAGCCTAGTGGACAAGGGTCAGTGGCTCACCATGGTCATGTGACTTCAGTCATTGTTCATCCAGCTACACTGTAATTGGATGCAGTCCATTTGCATATAGGTCACTTTAGAATGGGAAAAATCAGAAATCCACAGATAGATATCAAGGTACAAGCTCCAGAACCAAATAAGAATGGAAAAAGGATCCAGGATATTAACACTCAAAGCCCAGACTCTAAACTCTGCAACAGTTACTGATTCTAACACTTTTCTTCCACCACAACAGCCACTGGTTTAAGTCACCTAACATGGCTAATGGGAAAGAATATCCTAGGACTTATTTATTAATACAGAAGTTCTACATCCAGTTTTCACAGTGGCACAGCTGATATTTAACTCAGTTTTTCTCTCATATGCAATTATGGACATTATCAATTGCAGTCATTCACTCACACAAGAATATGCTTGTTTTGGAATTGTCTGTATATGTCTATAATCCTATGTTTATTTTCATCTTTTAGGATTGTCCATAATTTTAGAGATAATGAGTGAATACAAGACAATTGTTCTTCAACAAGGATTAGAGGATGTGGCTGTGGATGACTACCAGTTTAGGAAAATCAAGTCCTTACTAAGACAAGAACTAAAGCTAACAAAAAAGATGCAAGATGACTATGACAAAATTCAGTTGGCTGACCTGATGGAGGACACATTTCCAAAAGATGCTGGACTGAACAAGCTGATAGAAGTGTGTCAAAGAATTAAAGAACTTGAAGGCCTTGCTAAAAGGCTTAAAACAGAGAGAGCAAAAGGTAACACGGGAGCACCTTGGACACTCATCCCTTTTCTTCTCTCCCTGAACGTTCTGGGCTCCCTGCAGTGATCAGAGCTGATGTGTCCCTTTACCGCTGTGTGCCTTAGACATTATGGGGGTTGAAGCATTTCAGATGTCAACAAATTGATTTCAAGAAACCCTTTCTCACAAAGAAATTTGATATATTTCAGGGTAAACTTCTTTTACATTGGAGGTAAATAAAATAAAAAGCAATTTTTAAGATAGTTTAGAATACCCAACATGGTAGTAAAACCATAAAATAATAAAGTGAACAATGAAAAAAATCACTTAAAGCATATAAATAGAGTACATTTAATACTCAATTAACAATCTTACCCATTCATTAATATCTTTTCTGCTAACAAATATTATCTAATACTTAAGTACATACAGGTCTGCATCTTTAAGATGTGAAGAAGCTTCTCTTTATAAAGTCACTAAATTTAAAAAGTATTAGATATATGGGTACACAACTCTGACCCCAGCATTTAGCATAATGAAGCTCTGAAACTGCATTTTACATTGCACAAGTTTATATCAGATTTCCTTTAATTGCTTTCTATGATTGGAGAGTATTATACACAAAACATGACTAGTCAGTGTGATAAAAAATTTGGATTTTTTGGAGAACAGGAATGAGAAAAGCTTAGCTGATGGGCATGGGTTCAAGGACAGGAAGCGTTTTCTCATTTTAGAGGGGACAAGTAAAAAAAAAAACATCAAGTAGTGGAGACTGTGTCTAAGGCTGTGCCTTTAGTGGTGTGCCCCCATAGTAAACTAATAGAATAAACATAGTTATGAATGCAATGGAGAGAAAATGGCAGGAAAACTAGATGGTTCCAAGTCCTCTGTGTTGGTTAATTGGGCTCTTTTGTTCATGCATTTGTTGTGATGAAAATTATACCCATTCTAGTAAAAGGAAAATCCCCACTGAGAAAAAGGAAGCAAGAAGCAGGCTCTGATACACCCACATCAACTACCAGCAACACTGTAGCATCTGATGAAGGGGAGACTTCCACAGCTCAGGTGAGCTTGAGGAACAGCAGCTGGCTGGCTGTCCACAGAGGGGTCAGCAGTGGCTCTTCCTTACTCTGCCCATCAAGGACTCATTGCTTTATTAGTTTATCGTCAAGCTTTATTGAAACTCATGGTAAGTGGTCATGCAGCATTAATATGTGTTCACGCCTACTAGAGAGTTGTGTACATGAAAATCAGGTAGAACTATGGTGTCCATGTTTACACACCAAGTTTTAAAATTCAAATTCAATTATGTCCTACCATAGAGATAATAATAGAAAAACTGTGTATATAACTCTTTCCTCTCTCTTTGTTTAATGAAATAACTTATGCACACACAGTTTATGACTATTTATGATCATATTTTAGACCTGGCGAGAGGGTGGATGATGTTCCTCCTTCAATTTCCCAACATATTCTGGCATAATATACTACCTAATAATGAAGACTCATTCTGTTCAGTTGATACTGAGACTCATTAACAGACCATTGGATATATTTTCAGAAAAGAAAAAGTATTAATAAAGAAAAGACTGGAGTGAAGAGGACCAAGCGGTCTGAAGGACCAGATCACCCTCCCTGTCCTAAAGAAGCCACCACCAGCTGCCAGCCCCCAGTGCTCCAGGTCTCTTCTTCAGCTTCATCCAACACGCCTTCAGCTAAGGTACAAGTTTTCTACCTCACATTCAAATATCAGAATCAGATCTTGACGTTCTGACCATGTCACACACTTATCACTGAGATTTAATTAATTAAAAATACACAGAGGTTGATTATGGTAGATATAGATCATCATACAAAGACAGAAACAGGCATAGAAATGTAGGTGATACAAATAGAATTTTCTGTACCATAATCTTGTGTTGCCCTGGGGAAACTTGATGAATTTGGCATTTCTTCGGACAATAAGGCTTGTGTTAATCCCAGGCAGGGAGAGAGAGGTGAATATTCTAGCACATGCAAGTTTCAATAGCAATGGGCCTTATTTCTTCTCTCTTGCACTATCACATATCTCTTCCTGTTATATGACTAACCTGTTAATAACTTTTCTTCAACACAAATCGGGGGTATTTCTTTCTTCAGAATTTTTGTCACACTATATTTTCATTCCAGCTCAAAAGCATGTAAGTGTCCAAACACATCCATCCTCTGAATTTTAATGTTGGTGTCTTGCCCTATCCTATATATATACTCCCAGAAGCCCTGTCCACACTAGGTTAAAAATGGATAATTTTTACCTGAGTAAAATATTCTTGTTTTATTACCAGTTATGACACATAACTAATGATTTCCCCCATTTTACTGTGTATTGTAAGATTATGGTTGTCCTATTCTTTCTATAGATACTTACAAACCCTGAAATTTCCAGAAGTGTAGAAGTGAGAATCATCACAGCTAAGAAGGAAAGATGAGAGCTGTCCGTACCAGTTAAGGCTCTGACAGGTGTCTTGTGAGACTTAGAGGTCACAAAACAAAGTGATAACATAGGTGAAAAGGGAGTAATCAACCACTTTTTGACTAGATTTAAGGCTTATTCCATGAGATGGAACTCATAACTGACATTACCAAAGCCGCCAAGAATCTGAGAGTAGGTAGGCCATGGGCCTGCGAGAAACCTACTACTCTTTATTATTCTGTTAAAGGAACATAGCAATACTATGACTCCTAATGACATGCTGTCATGTTTATAGAGCGGTGCCTCATTCACCTCTCATTAGACAAGCTTCTTCTTGCCATAGATGGAAATTAACACAGAGACCCACAACTGGTCAATGTGTAGACAGTGAGAGACTTTACAGCATTCATCCCTCAATTGGTTGTCTTCATCAAATCACTCTCCTCAAGACTCAGGTATCTGTGTGGACGGGGAGGATGGAAGAGTATAAGCGTCAGAGCTGGTGCATGACTCCAAGGACACAGTTTCTTTCAAACAAACAGGACTGATGCACATATGAACGCAGAGACCATGGCGGCACACATTAAAAAAGCACAGGTTCAAGCCACCTGGGGACCCAGAACTGAGAGGAGGAAGTGGACAAAAAGTCCCAACCCTAACCAAGAAGCTATTTTCAGTTGATATCTACTAACAAAGGGAAAAACCCGTTTTCTCCAATAAACACTATCCACCACAGTCTGAGCACGCCCAATGCCTGGGAGAGGTTGGCCAACACAATAAGACTGTGTGTGGGTGCGGGGTGGGGGATGGTTTTTACTTTTTATTGTTTGGGGATTTTTTTTTTCTGTTTTGCTTGGTTTTATTTTCTATCTTTTCATTTTGTTTTAGTTTTTGAGAGTGAGAGAAGGAACACGAAGTTGAGTGGGGAGGGAGGAGGATCTGGAGGCGTAGGGGGAGGGGAATCATGATCAATACATATTGTATAAAAAGGTTTTAAGTAAAAATAATAGAAAAAATACCAATTCTGGGAGTAAAAATATATAGTGAGGAAAATTAAGGAATTTTTGGAAATTCAGGAGAAGTCAATTTATGAGAAGCTGGGAGTAAAAGGAAGTGAGCTACAGCTGATTATTTCATGTTTACTCTTCCTGGGTCAGGCTACTTTCACTTTGGACTGTCAAGTATTTCTCCAGTATCAAGTCAGTGTTATTCTCATAACACATGAAAAATGGGATGATTGATGCCTCTTATTTTTTCCCAAGTTCTCATTAAAGGAACAAATGATTTGTCACAGAAGGAAAACTACAACATTATCAGCATCCATTCTCTGGACTCTCCCTTTCCTCTCTCTATCCCTCTTTCCTCACCGCCCCCCCCCTTTTTTCTCACTTGAGAAGCAATTTTCACTCATTCCAAACTTTACCATTCAGGTAATTTTAAGGTTTTTCCAAATATTTTTTCAGATAGTTTTGTAATTATGGGGAAAACTTTCTAGTGTAACGTCTTACAATAGCTATTACTTTATTACTTGTTTTTCCGATTAAACATATCAGGGCTATCTTTCAAGTCCCTAAGTTAAAATGAATAGAACATTCAGTGACTACATCAGTATTTATGTTTCTCTTTTAAATAATTCATTTTAGATTGAATATCTACTACCATAATCTCAGTACCACGTTCAGTGATTATCCTTAAAATGTGTGCATTAAGGATCATTTTGAGGACTTCATAGTAACCCACTATTTTATCTTATGCACATCCTATAACTTTGTTGTCAATTTAAATCCGGTCATTGCTACTGTTGACTTATACACCCATCACTACTGCCTTTTGATTTTTTTTTGTTATACTAATTGTTTACACTGATGAAAAAAATCAGAGTCAAGTGAATTCTAATCACTCATAGGTGATGAGTGTTTGTGACATGATAGCTTGTATTATTTTCTTTCCCTTGGGTCTGTGGAGACAACAACACTATCACCTTATACTCAAATCTATGAAGTTCATAGCTTTTTATACTCTGTCTTGGAGTTAGGCAGTCTTCCCTTTATTGAAATACTCTGTTGAAACCCAGTGAGCTCAGAACACTGTGTAGAAAGGTGATTAGATGCCTATCACTATCTTTCTGGATTTCCAAATCCCTGCTGTTGAAGAACACTCTCTATCCATGCGTAAGGACAGGGCTCTAAACATAGTAACTAACTGTACCTGATCCCATTCAAAAGAGGTGCCTGAGGGCAGGCTCATGTTGGTTTTGATCATTTAATTATAGCAGATTGGTATATGCAGAGGAGACATACTATAATTTGTACCCTCAGAATAACCCCAGATAGTTCAGTGGTAACTAAAGTCCTATGTCATCTGTATGATTTATATTTACCATTCTATATTTTCAACAATACTTAACTTTCCCCTTTTATATTCCTCTGCCATAAGAGTAAAGGATATATTTGAATTAATTATAATTTTACTTAAGTACTTCATAAAATTGCTCTCAAATTCTTGTGCTGTGTTCATGCTGAGCATCTTGCTTCCTGTTAGAAAGATTCCTCTGATTTTCAGTGAGTGTTCAGACTTCTGTGGCTGAAGCCCACTGCTTTCATTCACTAGCCTTTTGGACAATCAAAGAGTTCCTCTTTAGCTTATTCATAGTGATATAAATACATAAAAATTGTTAGAACCAGTGTGCAGATTGTGATTTATTTTATGTGAAGGCTAATTTATATTTGCTTACATGTTTATACCCCCGTGTTTGTCCAACCCAGAACCAAAAGACACAGATCCAAACTCAGAGCATTGCCAGAGGTGCTATTCTCCAAAAGGATGCCATGACAGTGATGGTGCTCAATGCAATAGACCCGTTTGTATATGAGTTACCAGAACAAGGAGGAAAGAAGATGTTTCATGCTACAGTGGCCACTGTGAATGAGTATTTCCATGTGAAAGTTTTCAACATCAACCTGAAAGAGAAGTTCACAAAAAGGAATATCATTGTCATCTCCAATTACATCAAGTTCAAAGGAATCCTGGTGATAAATGAAGCTTCAATTGTGTGTGATGCTGGTCCTGACCAGAAGATTGAAGTCTCCAACCGTCTTATCAAACGAGCAAATGAAACTCCCAAGATCGGTCATATTAAAAACGGTGTCGCTGGAACGCTGTTTTATGGGTTGTTTACATTACACAAGGTAATGCCTGACAACTTGTCTTTTAATTTTTCTCCACCAACACCTGGAATCAAATATGATAACTTTCCAGTCACAGCTTAATGGCAATACTGTAAAACAGAACTCTCCCTTGGCTAGGGATAGAAGGAAAAATCATTCCACCACGTATTAGAGAATAAGAGTGGGTGACCCTTTAACAGCCTGCTTCTTAAGATATCTCTGAAACAGCTCTCTGAAAAAGACTTACCAACAAACTTTATTTTACTACTTACAAGTCCTACTCTCAGCCACAGTGAGAAGGAATGGTTCAGGACACAGGTCAGGGGCATGCCGACAGTCTCAATTTTTAAAGCAATACCACAACTATACAATACTTATTATTTTGTTTCTATACACTATTTCTATAGCTTCCCTGAACAAGGTTGAATATTTATTGTGATATGCATTTGGAGTAATAAATAGATTGGTCGGCATCCTCACAAATCCAAAAACATTCAGTATAATGAATTCACTATCTCGGCAGATAGTAGTTTAACCATTTAAT